CCCTTTCCAGCTTTTTGCTGGTTAACTGGTGATAAGACTCTCATGGACTTTCCTGGTTGGCTTCAAACTGTGATCCTCAGATCTCAACATCCTGAGCATCTAGGCTATTAGGCATGAACCATGGGCACCTGTCTGATAGTACTTTTTTTAATTCTTTAAAAACAAGTCATTTTTTTACTCAAGGTATTTATGGACTCAAACTATGTATCATAAGCTGCATTAAATCTATACTAACATGATGTTCTTTAAAAAAGGAAAGTAACTACACAGAGGTTTTTCCTGAAGTCATAAGAACTTTAAAAATAAAGTTTAAAATGTAAAAAGAAAAAAAAAAACTTAGTGACTGGATGACTTAGTCTTAAAAGAAAAGGAAGTCCTATTCACATATTTACAGATATTTGGAAAAGGCAATATTTTACCTAGGGAACTTCTACTTCTCTAAAGCAGTGTTGGCTAACAGAATAGCGCAATTTTATTTAGCAGTTGTTTTTTTTTTGAAAGGTCAGAAGACTTTTGCTCTTCTACTATTATCTTCAAATACAAAAGGGACTCAATTTAACATATCTATTGATGTGCACAGTGCATTTAGATTGGTATTTTATGACATTTAATTATACAGTAGTCACCTTAAAAGACAAAACTAAACCAAATAGCATAAACCTGATTAATATTTGTTTAACCTATAAATCCTAAATATTAATTGTGCAATAAATGTTCATTTATTTCAATTTGTAATTCATATCATGAAACTTAATTTCCCTTCTATGCACTCTTTGAAATCTAGTAAATGCCTTATAGCACGTTTCACTGAGGACACTACATGTGCTCAGTGATAACATGTGGTTAGTAGCTTTTGCGTGTGTGTGTGTGTGTGTGTGTGTGTGTGTGTGTGTGTGTGTGTGCTCCAGTTTGGGGGCTTGAACTCAGGGCCAGGGTGCTGTTGCTGAGCATTTGTGCTCAAGTCTAGTGCTCTACCACTTGAGCCATAGTTCCATATTCAACTTTGAAGTGGTTAATCGGAGATCAAAAGTCTCATGGACTTTCCTAAGTTGTTATCCAGGTCTTTTTGGTATGATTTAATAATCATCCATGTATTAGTTTCTCATTTTTTTGAATACTGGTGGTCTACAGGAGACTATGCTTTCTAGATTAATTATTATTAATATAATCCAGAATCTTCTGATTTAGGAGCCATCTATGATCAGTTTGCTTTCAACAAGTCTCAGCAGATAGAGCTGATGGAAGAAAAGAAAGTGGAGCCATGGAAATCACCCCAGCCCCCTCAGGGATAGAATCTCCAGAAGCATGCCAGCACACAGCCCATCCTGAAGTGGAGACCACTTTCCTTTGATTCATGGAGGAAAGTACTCAGGAAATGGGAGGAAAGACACTCCTAGGAGAGCAACAGTAGAAGAAGACTGAACACATAGGAAGAAAACCACCCTGAGCAATTATCTTCAGTCAATTCACATTGCCAAGAGGTAACTGCCAACACCTCTTCCCCTGAGTATTGTAGATGAATGGACACTGATTGCTGATTGAGTCTGCTTATGGCTATAGTAAATGTAGCATGATGAGTAACTTCTCCACAGAGATAGCGTAGTCTTTGTGAGCTCATAACCTCTTTTGAGGAAATGCATCTACTTGAGTGTCAGCTATGGATCTGACATTATACAGAGACCTGGGTTTTAGTCGTATGGACATTCTGATTACATAGAAGACAGACAAGGTGTTAACAGACTTCACACCTTTGTATTGTTGATAGCCAAGTAAAATTATTCCAAATGAGAGAGAACATCTTATTTACAGCATAATCATAGATCTACCTGACTCAATATAACAATTTGGTTGGTCAAGAAAAAATATTTACATGTTTCATTTTAGTTGTTAGGTTTTTGTTATATAGTTACTTTAATTGTTTTAGTTTATTAATTGGACTATTTACTTTGATAACATTTTATAATGTATAGTATACAGGCAGACATTTAATCAGAAAATGGAATAAAAGGAAATAAAATCATATTATAAAGTATATTATATGTTAGGTATTAAGCTGAGCCTTTGCCAAACATTATAGTCATTCTCATTTAAGACAACTGTCTTTTAAATAGAAGTTTCTATGCATTCATTGTGTTCTTTTACCTCCTACCCTCTTTACTTTCCTCTTCCCTCCCTCTTCCTTTCCTCTTTCTGTTTCTCTCTCTCTCTACAAAAAATAGCACATATTCTACAATCTTATAATCCTAAAAACATCATGATTTTGTTTTATAAATTCCAGCTTTCTTTTTTGACTTTAGCTTTAGGGTTTTTTTTATTTTTTTATTTTTTGCATTTGTGGGCTTGAACTCTGGGCCTGGGTGCTGTCCCTCAGCTCTTCAGCTCAAGGCTAATGCTCTACTACTTAAATCACAGCACCACTTCTGGTTTTCTGATGGTTTATTGGAAATAAGAGTCTCATGGACTTTTCTGCCTGAGCTGGCTTTGAACCATGATCCTCAGATCTCAGCCTCCTGAGTAGCTAGGATTACAGGCATAAGCCACCAGCTCCCCACTAGCCTTAGTTTTTTATATAACAGCTTGAAGTTATTTCTGTGAGTTGGTCCTAAATATACAGAGTTTCTTTACAGAAATGAGAATATTCCATGGAAATAAGTTCAGTCAACTCTTTTTCAAGTTGTAAGTATAGCTGTTAATGGCTTCATTCAGCTGACTAGGAATTGTGCATTTCTTTTTGCCTTTCATCTCATTAAATAATTGCTTTACAAAACACTTTAGCTTATCATTCTAATCAATTCTTCTACTCATCAATCAGATTGATGACAAGCAAACATTCTCTTCATTTTTTTTCTCATGGGGCTTGAACTCTGGGCCTCAGCGCTGTCCCTCAGCTCTTCAGCTCAAGCTCAAGGTGAGTGTTCTACCACTTGAGCCATAGCACCACTTCCAGTTTTCTAGTGGTTTATAAGAATCTCATGGACTTTCCTGATTGGGCTGGCTTTCAATCAAGTTCCTCAGATCTTAGCCTCCTGAGTAGCTAGGAATACAGGTGTGGCTTTTCTCTTCATTTTATTTATGATCCAATAAACCTTCTGTTTCATGTTTGATACATATCTACCATGTTCACATCTCTCAGGAATTACCTCTGTAGTCAACTCTTACATTCCACATTTCCAGTGAATTTAGGGTTTCCTTCAAAAGACAGCCAGTATTATTTAAAATAATATTACTACATGATCTTTCCAGTTAAACACAGACATCCAGAAATAGATTCAGTGCCTTCTAGACAGGATGTAAATTCTAAATGCGAGTAGTTACAAAGTCATGGATCAGAAACAATGACCAGGATAAAGGAAAACAAAGTGTTTCCTCCTGAGGTTTAATCTAGATCCTTAGGCAGATAAAGGTTCATTTCACTCTAATTCTCTATCTGTCCATTCTCAACTGTCTCATGAAAGGTACTCATGCTTTGTGAAGTGTTCCAAATGAATAAATACTTACACATTCCCTCATCTGTCTTTTGGATGGAAGATTCCTAATTAGATGCTGGGCCTGTTCTACCTGATATAAACTCCTGGACTTTCCTGAGTACCATCAAAGTTAGAAGTGAAACTGCCATTATGTTCATGCCTATTTGAGATCATCCAAATGAAGGAAAGTAGCTGCATAGTTTGAGAAAAGGCAGATGAACATAAAACAAAACAATAATGGAAGATGCTAACTTCTAGTTGAAGAAATAGATGTTCTTCTGAAGTCCATTTACAGCAAAGATAAATGTAAGAAAAGTACCCATTTTTGACCTTGTACTCACCATTGACAAGGGATCCCTTAGCTGAAACACAACATAATAAACCCAAATTTAATTCCATCTGCAGTGAGCATGCATGCATGAAATGGCCTACATGTTATACTCAAACAGACCCAATTTTGGCTTGGAGATCCCCACATACTATTAACTAGGTTAGTAACTTCAGTAAAAATACTTGCAACTGTTTTCAGAATTCTCATATTAAAATAGAAACAATACGACTATAACCTAGGGTATCTTTGAAGGGAAAGAGCCAATATATTTCACAGTGCCTAAGAGTATTTGGAACAAGACAGGACTCAGTTAATATTAGTTCCTCTTTCTCTCCCATGTGTCTGTGTGCAGCAAGTTTGCTTTTGGCTTTGAAATATGAAACTTCTCCCTTCCCCCAGTAGTGCACATTTTTCAATTTGTCCCAAATCTAAGAAAAGACATTAAGAAAAGACTGTAGAAAGACAGATCCTTTTAACGTGGAAGTTTTGGGAAAGAAAAATTAACAATTTTGCTAAAATCTTATATGAACTACATTAACCATTGAGATGACAATTTTTTTTCCCTGCTCTTTTACGGTGCATGTAAAATCCATACCATTTTCAAAAGAAAAGAGAGAAACAGTGAGAGGGAAAGAAAAAAAAGAGAAAGTCTACCCTTATAGTAAATAAAATATTACTATACTCATGATCTTCCCCTTCATCTGCTGTTAAACAAAATTGATAGACCAATATGGAAATAAAATTCTTAGCTTAGCTGCATCCTGTCTTAAGATGTTAAGAAATTTTGACATTGATAAACATGCATTGTGCTCATAAACTGTTTTGTTAAATGGCAACTCCTTGGTACAACTACTTAAATGTAATAAAAATAAATTTTTAAAAGAAGATGTCAAGAAATTTTAAATTGTACTTTACAGATGAAAGAAAGGTGAGAGTTGGAGGGAAGGTATCCTAAGAAAGTTTCCCCAACACCTTTTTGTTACAAGCTAAAGGGAGAGAAACCACTGGGGGGGGGGGGGGGGAGAAGGGGGAGAGTATCAAGAAGGGAAGATGTGTAGAGTTAAATGGAAAACGAAGCGATTTAAATTGGACACAAACAAAACACATGTCTGTCTCAGCTTTCCCCAAGATTTGACTTAGAGCATGCATTGGGGACACCGGGAAGGAGGTCACTAATTCTTAGTCCCAACACCCCAACTCACCTAACTGGAGCTGTTCGCAAGTCCGGTCTGGGTTCTCTCCGATCCGGCATCTGTAGATCGCCCCGGGTTTGACCACTGAAGCGTTGGCCAGCCAGTTGGCAGTGGGCGCCCCCACCACCAGCCTGAAGCGGGGGAAACGTGCACGTGCGCTCAGACGCCAGCCGCGCTGCCTTCTGAACTCGGGGTCCCCGGGGCTGTGCGCGGCCTGCAGCGGGGCGGCATCCCCTGCCCTCCGCCCCTGGACTCCTGGCTCCCAGGGCTGGCAGCACCCGCACGCGTCGCCTACGCTGCTACCCCTGGAGAAGTTAGCTCCCTCCTGGGCAGATCTCCAGCGAGCTGGCTGTGGCGGCGGGCTCCTCCGGCCTCCTCCAGATGGAGGAAAGTTTGAAGGAGGGGGGGCGGGCAGGGGGAGGGTAGGGAACTCGGAGACACCTTCCTCACGCCTTTCTCGGCGAGGCGGCGAACCCCCACTCACCATCGGTTCGCCCCGTGGCTGTGCAGCACCACGGAGTAGCCGAACAGCGTGTCGTTCGGACCCTGGTACAGCAGCGCGCTCTCGGTGTCCACGTTGTAGGGGTGCCCGCTTGGGACCCCCAGGCACAGCAGCAGCATCAGCGCTTCGCGGACGGCGGCCCCTCGGGGGCCGGGGCCGCGCCTCGCTTCCGCAGCCATGCACTCTGGGCGGGGGGAACATTCAACACCGAACGGTCATTGCCCCCCAGAGTAGCACGGGATGCGACGTTTGGCCAAGGCGAAGAAGCGCCTCAAGAACGGGAGCGCAGCGTGTCCGGCGCCGGCGACCGAAGGCGGAGGGGGGCGGGAAGAGGGGGGGACCAAGGGGAGGGGAAGTCGGTCAGCCGCAGGCGGGTGATCTAGGGCAGCGGGGGATGCCGCCGCACGCCCTCCGGATCCACGTCCTGTTTCTGCGGCCTGGGAGTGCGGGTGCTCGCGCGATCCCGGGGCGCAGCTGGGTGGGGTCCTGGGCGTGGTGCAGAGGCGCGGGGTCTGTCTGCGTCTCCCCTAGCGCGCAGCTGCAGGGGGCGCTGGGGGACCTCGGCTGCGTGGGACGCTCGTCCGGGCCCGGGTCTGCCAGCCCACAGGGTGGGAGATGGCTCGGGGTTCCCGGGGCTTAGCCAGAAGGGATCTGCAGGGACCCAGGGACGTCTCCCTCTTTTAAGGCAGGTTGGGGCCTGACACGTAGTCTGCCCTAGCCTTTGCCTCCAACTTCAGCCCCCACCCCCACCCCACCAGGTCAGCCCCAAACTTCTGGATGGGACCGCAGCGCAGGGGACTGTCCCATCTTTCTTTACTGGTTAAGTGCTATATGGGACTTTTTGTAAGTAATCGCCGGAGAAAGCATGCAGTTGGCCATAGAACGACGACACACCAAAATAAAGAACTCTGAAGTTTGGCCCATGGGGAACATTTTGAGTGACAAAGACGTTATGGTTATTCTCTTCAAACTCACAGCCTGCACTCTTTCATGCCCACTTCCTTCCTCTCAACACTTCCCCTTCAGCAGGAGTGAGCAGGCAAAGCAGCCGCCTGGGGCTAAAAGACAGTGGTTAATACACTGCAGACTCCAGCAGAGGGGTGCCCTAAAGGAAACACTGGCTTTCCTCACTTAGCAGGTTGCTGTGCCGTGTTCTGGACGTGGATCCCCTTTCCATTCGTCCGATTGCCGGGGCCTACACCCACCCGCCATACAACATAGGGGCCAAGGCACCATAGGCTTCTGGAAATGCGAGTGAGGCTCATAACTGTAACACACTTGAACTGACTGGCGAGTTTCAGTCTATATACACTGGGTTTCTTCCTTGAGCAACCAGACGTAGCTAACCCAGCATGCTTATTAGGCTATTTACAGGAAAAGCAAAGGTTCCCCCTATTAATTTTGGTTACAAGAAAGAAAAAGAAAAAAAAAGCCACGAAGGAAGAGAAGACTTCATCCAAGGGTGTGGTGTGTAAGTAAACCCATCCTGAAATAGCACATCTTTGAATGAAAATGGTAGCCACACAATTAAAGCACTTGCTCTCTAACTCAGCATATTTCACTAGACAGGCACAGCCAAGCCCTCGGCATGCCACCCGAATGGGGTAGGACTGATAATAACTCTCAGAAAAAAGTGTCTGCCAAATGGTACACAGGCAAACACTTACTAGTACACGAAGTTCGGGCGCACTGGGGACACTTAAAAAGACATTTGAATAGTTGGTGGAGTGGGCAGGCTCGGCGATTGGAGAGGAGGAATGAGGGTGGCCACCATTAGGGCCAGGTGGAGGAGCTGAGACTGCATGGCTTTGTAGCTGCCCACACCGCAGGTAGGTGTGGTATGGGGCTGCCTAAGACAGCAAGACCCCATCCTGAGCCTCATAGGCATGTCGGGAACTTTAAACTCCACTCTGCTGTTGATGTGAAAGTATTGAAGAGTTTGCCTTGATCAAGATCTGAAAACAAGATGGAAAATTTAGTTCTGGAGGCTTCTTCATTAATAAGACAGACAGACTGATGGTTCACACTGATGTAGTAGGCACAGAGGGAAAATAGATTTAAGAGAGGAGAGAAAGAAAGGAGAGGGTGGGAGGGAGAGATAGAAAAAGGGGGAAGAACTGGACAGAATTTGTTAATAGGAGTATGGACAGAAAGCTAACATGGACAAGTCATGGGGTAAAGCATGAGATATCAAATTTCGAGGTCCTGGGCACATTGAGAAATGAGTTTTTAGAGAGCTATAACCAGAACCAACCCAAGTATTTTAACTCTGACAACAGACAAAAGAAAGGAACATGAACTTTTTCTTGCCATCTACTAAGTATAGATCAATACTGGCAATGCCCAGGGTGAATGGCCCTGATCTCTTTCTTTCTGCAGTTGCACGGTTTTTGATTTTGTTTTTTCCTGAATAGGTCTGCATTCTGATTTTTAACCCACTCTGCATTTAGGTCACATTGTTGTTGCTCTGAAGTAATTCTTGAAATTAGTGCAATATCAAAATCATCCCAGTCTTTTAGATACACTAGCAAAACCAATGAGCCTTTACCTCTATCTTTTTCATTATCTACCAGAAACTTCTGTGATAAAAACCTTTCTACACAATTGTGTTCAAAGCCCAGTTAAGGTAAGAAGATGTGAGGGAGGGAGGGCATGCTTGGGACCAGCTGGAGAACCTGGGAGAAGCTGACTGGACAGAGCAGTTATACATGGCCTGATGACAGGGTAGTATCTTATTTCTGTGCTTATGATGTTCATTTATTGCCCATCCAGGAACAGCCAGCCTGCATTACTTCACATGCTATCATGTGAAGTTTCCTCCCCGCTAGGGCTTAGAAATAGCTCATTTCCCCTACTAATAAGAGGTTGTAATATTGCTTTTATGAAGCCTGAAGGTACGGCTCTTTATCTAATGTGTGGAAAAGGAGGCATTCCTGGATTTAATTTATCCAATTAATATATGACATATGATATATATATATACATATATATTTTGTGCTTACTCTCTGCCAGAAGCTACATTAAGGATTCAAAAGTAGTAGAAAAAATTGTCTATTTTTTTTATATAAGCAGTCCTCTTAAAGGCATCTAATAGAGATGCTTAAATTTTCAGTTGTTTTTTCATCTTGAAAGACTTGGTTTTCTCAACAAGGTCTTTTTTATGCTTAAACTCAAGTTCTCTCACTCTTGCTTGGCTAGTCCACTCAATGCTGGTGCCCTAACACTTGAGCCATATTCTGTTTCCAGCTTTTTGCTGTTTATTGTAGATAAGAGTCTTCTAGTCAGGATCCTCAGATCTCTGCCTCTCTGCCTGTAATCCTAGAGATTACAGGTACTCAGTTAACACCACTTTTTAAAAGTCTCACTCCCTCTTTCTAATAACCCACTCTGAGTTTCAGTCATGATAAATGCCAAAAAGCCCCAGGGTTAAACTCTGGCTCTCCCTTCCACTTTTGATTTCTCCATTTTTAGGAGATTTAACCTATATCTTAAGTTGTTAAGTGATATTTAAACCTCTAGAGTTCAATTCTCCAAGCTTGACCTTTCCTGTCAGCCCCAGGTCTGTGCATTTTGTGTCTGTACTTGTGCCTGGCTCTCCTGGGTCAAGGTATATGGAACACATCTGAAACGAATATCTTAGTGTCTCATTGTATCTGAACAGTGAAAAGTAGTCATAGATTGGGCTTTCTATCTCCAACATGGAACATATCAATAACCAAGCCAGTCAATTTGACCAGTAAAATATATTCAAAACTATCTTCTTCATGTTTCCTGGTTTTTCTTTTTGCAGCAGTTCCTGCTCCTGGGGCAGAATATGAAGACTACGTTTCTAAATAACAAAACGTCCATCTTCTTTTTTTGTTCTGTACAGCTCTTACCTTTCCCAATATTCCCTAATATCACCTGGGATACTTGATAATCTGATACATTGTCTTCCTTCACCCTTCCCACACCAGCAATTTTCTACATAAAAGCTAAGGTGAACTTTCAATCTTTTAAATCATTTATACATCAAATCCTTCAAATAGTTGCCTTTTGCTCTGATAACACAAAGTACAAACCACGGGATCCCTCACTTCTTTCTGAGCCTTACCACTAGCATTTCCCTCTGGATCTCCTTGCTTTGCCGTATCTGCCCCTTTAAATTTCCTTTAAGTGCCTCAAGCTTCTCCTGAGTGATCTTTGCCAGCCCATCTTTGTTCTCTGCCTGGACATATAGCCTTGGGTGTATCACATGATTCTATTTTCCTTTATTCCAATTCAGTTTTAAGGTACCCCCCAACAGAGGATTTTCTGCCCATTTTATTTTATCTCTTTATTTGATCATTTTTTGGCATTTCTGAGGGGCACACTCAGCCCTCCTCCCCCACATTGCTAGCAGGCACTCCATAACTAGAGCTACACTGTACAATTTATAAATAAATCACAATTTTATTCACTCTCTGGGAATCCTCTTCATTCTTCACAGGAATCATATATTTATTCATATGTACATCCACCTGTAAAATACGTTCATTAAAAAAATGTTTTTCCTCCCTAGAATAAGAGGGCAAAATCCATGTCCTGGGTACCAACTATAATATGCTGCCAGACAAGAAGAAGAAGCTCATGTCACTCTATGTGACATCACTAAAATTGTCACAAATGGAGCAGATCATTATGTTGAGAACCATCATGATAAGCCTAACAACTCAAAAAGCTAACTAGTATATGGTCTCACATATTTGTGGATTACATATCTAAGATGATCATGATGATGAAGATGATAATGTTGATGGTGTGCTGCTGGTGGTGCTGGTGATGCCCTCAATAATGCGACAAGAATGTAAAAGAAGCTTGAATGTATGTGTGTGTGTGTGTGTCTGAGTGTGTGTGTGCACCTGTGTGTGTGTGTGCACATACATACATGCACACCATAATGAAACACACTAACCCCTGTGTGTAAAAGGAGGCATTCAGAAGTTAAGAAATGGGAATACAGTAGAGGGAGTAAATTTGTTCAAAGTATGCCATGTGCATACATGGAAACAGAATCCAACCCCTTTATAATACAAATATATCTTTATTCAAAAAGTAACATAACAAATGTTGATCTAAACAATTACCGTTTCTATTTGTACATTGCTACATGCAAAATAATGTACTATAAGTGTTAGAAGAGCCAAAGTTATGTAAAAAAGTACACCAAAATCTGAAACAGTTCCACAATTTAAAAGAAAGATATGTCTTCTGTGATGACATAATGTAATCAAATATGAAAGCAGAGAGAGAATTGCTAACAAATTGTGTAGCCATAAAAAACAGTCTTGAGACCTAAATTTAGGTAGCATCAAGCAGGGAAAATGGAAGAGCTGATATAATACATTGAAGGGAAAGTCTGCCATGATGTCAGGTTAAGTATAGGTGACATGGAGAAATAAAATCACTTCCAGACCAGATGACTAGGATAATATTGGTATTGTAAAAAGAAAAGAAAAGAAGCAGAAAAATGAGTGGGCTGGGTCTAAAGAGTATTTGGACCAAACTAGCTGAGTTCTGGGGTTAAGTCTAGATATTGTTACAACATCCATGTAGATGTATCTGGAAAGTGATGTTTCTTACATAAATATTACTATGTAAAACAATTAGAGACACTTAAAGGAAAT